GCTGAGTTGCACTCTCCAGTAAACTCCCTCCACTCCCGTCCTCTCTTTGGGTATTCTTCTTTCCTTCCGTCCCCTTGTACCGAAGGTGCCCACCAGTGTCCCTGATACAAGCCCCTCCTCTCTCGATTCTTTTCTCTTTCCATCGGACGACGAGCTCAGCCAACGAGCAATATGGATCGCATTCTTACTTGTTGTGGGGTGGACTGTTCCGAGCCTTGCGATCGCTGTGCCATTATTCGTTGTTGATACCCGTGCACAGGTCACACCCTTCCAAACGCACAGTACGGGGGACAATATTCGGCACTGCACGATCTCTCTGTTATCCGGTTATTGCGTCTCCTCCACCGAGGCAGTGTTACTCCCGACGAAGGCGTGCTGCAGCGTCGCTTGTTAGTCGACGGCGTTGATGAATCTCACAAGGCACGTCTAAGACTTCTCGTACTCTCGATAATGGTCATTGTACTCGTCATGGCTGCATTGTTGATGCTCTACCGAGAATTCAATAAGCTCCTTTCATATCGCCGGCTATGGCTACGTGTACGGTGCGACGATATGGAAATTGGGTGGTTAAGCCTGGATCAGACGCCTGGGCTTACGGGACTTGGTGAGGAAGCTGTAAAGGATGTTTTTGCCGGCAATGGGCTCGTAAGCGCGAGAAGGGGACGGAATAGTGTTGGGTCCAATGAATCGCGCCGGAGGAGATCCACAGCTCTAGCGCGCCAAGGACCACAACATGATGAACACTCTGAATCCGATGATGCAAACAATTCATCCTACACTGATGGGAATGATATTGATGTCACAGGAGTCTTTTCTGTCGTGTGAGTCCTAGCTTCGAGGCTATGTGATTCTCACTGATCGTGTGTTCCCGATAGGGATACGAGGGATGCAGAAACTCTCATTCATACACGCGACCGTGTCCTGAACAGCCTAGAACTTGCCGAGGCTCATTATATAAACACCTATTGTCGGTGTTTTCCAGGCTCTGGTCCATTGCTGCCCATTGTGCGAAAACAATCCCAGCATCACCACCAATATCTGAAAGCCCTATATGGTCGGATCAAGTCTTGGCGCGAGCAACTCAAGACCCTGAACACTGAAGTCGACATGGAGCAGCAGCGAATGTACTTCAATATTAGGAACGGGATTTCTGTTCGAGGGTGGCTCCTTGTGGGCCGTGGGGTGCGATTTCTTCCTGGCATAAGAATGATCCCTGGACGTAGTAAGGATGATATACGTTGGGCCGAGCTTCAAAATAATGGGGGCAACATTGGTCGCATGTATTTTTGGGTGATGGTCACACTGCTTTCATTACTTCTTGCTATCTTGCGTGTGTTTTTTTATCCCCTTGCGAGATCGTGGATGAGTGATCGAACTGACTCATTTTCAAGTTACCGGTCTTGTATGCCTCGCTTTGGGCTCCGCACCCAATTTTGCCCATTACCTGCCGGCTCTGAAGTCCCTTGTCAGGTACGATGATCTGGGACCTGCGATAGGCACGACGTTAGTACCCTCGCTCCTTACGATGCTCTTCATCGCCACCCTGCTCGGATTCATTCACTGTGTGTTTCCCATTACCCTTACTGGTGCAACGGCAAGCTGACTCTCAGGCTTTCCAGATTTTTCCCGGTTCAGCGGCTCAGTCTCGCACTCGGATAATCGGACGATGGAACTGAAGGCCGCCTTCTATGCCATAACTCTCATCGGTGGTGCCTGGTTGATCGGAATTAGCGCCATTTTATTCGGTTTGCAGGCATTTAGCACCGGATCGGACCAAGCGACAACGGTATCCGAGGGAGTTGTGTACATCGCTGGATTCATTCTGGCGCTAGTAATCTCCGCTTTCATTGTCCCCGGATTACTGCTATTGCAGCCCATCCGGCTATGGCGCATTATCAGTGCCAAGCGGAAGGTGCTGACGCCTCGTCAGAGATTTCGTGGTGAAGTATCTTATACTGTAGGCGCTGTTTATAAACCTCACTCTACTCCTAGCTCTCTATCCAAGAACGTACAATCCCTCTTTCGGCATGGGGGCAAGCATCCTCGGATTGTTCTTTGCAGCGGCATTTAGCATGTTGTTCCCATTGATCGGTCCCCCTCTCGTCCTTCTACTCTTCCTCACCCTTATGGTTCATCGGTATCTTGTGGGCTATGTATATGGACGAACATATAGAGTCCATTCCGGAGCCTCGCTGCACCTCTGGCTCATTCGGCGGTTTGCACTCTAGTGACTCTCCAGCCCTTCCTTCTTGGTCTTATCCTTTTGGCCCACCGGCTGTGGGCATTGGGTAGTCTTCTGCTCTGCGTAGCTGTGTTCGGCCTGGTGGCCGTGGAGCTCTACGCTGAGACCCAGACTCGGGAGCCTGATGTGGATTCATTGAGCCTCAGAGCCTGGGAGTCGCTTGACAAGTTTGTCAGTCAAGTCATGACCGGAGAGGCGGATCTGGTCCCATATCCTGTGCAGTTCGTGGCGGAACAGCAAGGGACACGTTCATCTATGGCTAGCATGTTGGAGATGATAGCAGCTTCCTTGGCGGTGGGGCCTTCCGCGTCTCTCCAGTCGAAGCCTGTTCCTTTCCGTGAGTTCTGATCTTTGTACCAGAACATTCCGAGCGTTACTGACCGCTGGTCGGCGCGATAGCAAAGGAAACCATAAATGATCTGGTCTCAACTGCGCGTGCGGCAGCAGCATTTGCGACCCTAGACAGTCCTCCACGACTGAACCCCACGGATCCGGAGGATGATGTGGCAGATTTTCTCTACCCCCCTGAACTACTGGCGCCAGCGCCTCCCATATGGCTGTATAACGATTCGGCGGGCATTGCACAATCGAGGGCGCACGATCTGAAACGCGAACATGACCTGGACGTCTTTTTGGATGGCCCTTCGCCATCCCTCAAGGGAAGTCGACGTCGACGGCGGACCCCCGACCGAATGAACGAAGAGTAGACGATAACGAAAGCTATCACGGGATCACGCTCGCCACGGCTGCTAGTATTTATCCAACTAAATCCCTGAATCTAAAGTCCCCGGCCAGAGTTATTTTGGCGCTCAAACTCATATTCCTTCTCTTTGATGACCCGATCTGCGCATATATGCACGTTCGATATCTTAGGGGGTGGAGGCTGTGCTCCTAAGCTACTTTGTAGCGGACTCGTATGTTCTCATACTCATGTCGCGCCCCGTGTTTGTCTGCCATATGTAAATTAGTATGCTGATGTGACATGACAGTCTGTAGACTTATCGCGAACATTCATTTTGTTTTACAATGGAACGTCATCATACACATAAGAACTATGTACTAGAGTGCTTTCGCACATTTGGGCTGTCATTTTGTAAAGGGTGCTCTGACATGGGATGACATGAATGTTGTGCGTTCACATGTGTTCTATGGTCTGAGGAAATTTCTAAAGGAAATTTGGGAGGAATATTGACGTCGATAAGGTATGGGACCGATTATCCCCCGGGATCTTGATGGAATGATAAGGACAAGTGACCACTGCCGGATGGGGGGACGAAAATGATTGCAGCAGCAAACATAATAGCAAGCGACCCAGAGGGTAGTCTTCAGGTATTTAGGGAGCATGGTGGTGCCGTGGTGCTTACCGTGACCTGGGAGTTTGTAGATCGGAATCAAATGGATATGATAAGCACGACTAATGGTGGTTAGATGGCAGTGACTCGCATGGCTGTTCCTCTAGGAGCAATGCAAGTGACTCGATTCCGACGGGGCCTGCCTACCCGGAGATGGAAATGGGTATAAAGACGTTAGGATCAATCCACCCGCCCAGCTCCTTACCACTCCTAAGTGGCCCCCCCCCCTTTATCCTTTATCAGCCCTCATATTTCAGACATCCATGTCGCCATCTAAGACCACTCCCACTGCTGCCGCCGTTGGCACTGTTACCGTCTCATCCCCTCCCATGAACCCTTCTACGGAGCAGAACAGCCTTCCCCCCGCCGTCACCCCTTCCCTCCCCACAACAGCACCGGGTGCCCTCCTAGAGGTCAAGGACCGCCGGGCCTTCGAGCATGATCGTCAACGGGCACACAAGCCGCTCGACCGTTACCTGTCGAAACGGCTCAAGCCCCCGCGCCATCGCACTGGCAACTCGGGACGCAGCGCAAAGGCGTTCCCAGGATATCGCGCATCCCTGCGTCCATGGGAGGGCGTGGTGTCCACGGCAGATATAGATGTGGGTGACGTGAAAGAGCCTTATTATTATCTAGACGAGGACGAGAACAGGGTGGGGGACGATGAGCCTGTGCGCCCTCTGCACGTTAGTTTGAGTGACCTCATTCGGCCACCGCGCAAACGGAATGGTGTGTAACCCCCATCTTGGCAGCTTTCTGCAGCATTCTGGGGTTTCTAAATTACTGTCGATACTCGTCTTAGGCATCTCTCAAGGTTTCGAATTTATTCCTCGATTGCGACCGGTCATGGTCATGGAAGACGGTTCCGAATTCGTAGACGATGAAGAGGAAGAGGATGATACTCTTGATTGGGAAGTTGTACGTGTCTCGGGGGCGAAGCGGGAGGTTTCGGCGAGGCAGTCCATGCCGAAGAAGTCGAGTTATGCTGCTGTCCTTCGTGCGTCGTCCATTTCGAAGACATGAGTCGGTTTATTGTTCCATATTATTTCTTGTTTTTCATGTGTGTGTGGCTGTCGCGTGCATGTATATATGCTGTACATGTGGTTGTTGGCTTTTGGCCTCCTGTGCGATACATTCAATAGTAGATGGGCTGCCACCGCCCCATTGCACATCAAGCCAGCCTTGGTAATCAGTCGGCAGTCATTGGTGCTTTCCTCCATGAAGGGCCCTGGCCTGGGCACTGAATCGTTGGTGCTATTTTTCCTAAAATCACACCCTACAATTATAGCATGAAGGGGGTACATCTTGTCAGCGCATCCCATACGAGGACGTCCGAACTCGGTGCCACCCTGGGATTTGAACGCGGGAGTTCGCGCTCGACAGGGGTTAGCTCCTCGAGCAAAAACTGCCCAAACCGCGAGTTGAACACGGGATCTTCGCTTTTAGGTACTACAAGAGCGACGCCTTTACCACTGGGCCATTCGGGCATATCGGGGGTTCTCATATTCAATTATTATCTTATTTCTTTCGCCACGCTCACCTACAGATGGGCCGGATTCGCACGTCAATTTCGGTACTTCCCGCGGATTTTGACGTGGCCGAATTATCGGTCCTTTTATTATGCTCTTGACACTGTCCTTGATACGTCCCCGCTGTCTGCCAAATAAAGAAAAACAAATTGTTAATTAATGTCCTGGGCCCTGCACAGTGTCCCCGTAATACCTGGCTCTTGTCAACCAAATAAGGAAATAAAATTTATCCCCAGTGCACTCGGTCCTATGCAGCGAAAAGAGATGTGGGGTATCCCTGAAATAATTCCTAGCAAGCCCCACTTAGCAGAATGGGGTCTGTGGGATGTCCCCGCCCTGCCAAGCTGCTACGGGAGTTTCCGTATTACTTTGTCTGGCGTTGAGTCGGCTCGTTGGACCGTGAGAATCCGACACTGTAGTCCCTGAGTTTGTGGACTCTGGCAGTTCCCGGAGATGCCTTTACTGTATCTCTTTCTCAAGAGGCGTGCGCAGTCCTTTGTGCCCCATGGAATCATAGATCACTGGTCCTACTGTGTTCTATGACGTGGACGATCTCTATATGTCAGAAAGCTGCTTCTTTTTGCTCACCTTGAATTACCCCCATCGCTGGTTTGGATTTCTTTGCGCTAGCTAGCATCAATGATGCCGCCTCCCTGCTTCTCTTCGATCCTTCAGATTACCCTGGATGGTGCCATTAGCGTTGCTTTGGCCGATTCCCGTCTACTCTTTGAGTGCGCTTTCTGCCAATGCGTTGCGTTTTGATTCCTTAAATTCTCTTGTCATCACTCGCAATGTCGTCCATCACACACCCTCTCTCTTATCATGTCGCCTCCACTATGGAGTATTTTTCTTGGGTATTTTGATGCGTGCGATCTGTCCAAGGACGACGACCTCTTGGGGTGTGAACCGATCCAGAGGCCTTGATCATGGGACTATCTTAACCCTTCTCTTTGCAGTCATATGCTTATCGATCTTCTGGGTACTGAGAACCCTCTCGGGATGCGATATATGCGTCTTCGTGCTCGATTTCCCCCGCACGAGTACTCAGAAGTGCTTAATATTGTTCGGGCAGTACGTCACTTGGACGCCCATTTCTCGTATCCCCCAAGTAATATCCCACATTATAGGAAGCCTCCAGATTTTTTTCGTCATCAAAGTCTAACACGCACCAGGGGGTGGATTCGCTGTTAATGTGCGAAACCCACAATGTCCTGGTGCTTTCGCTCACTATTCATGATCCAGCCTCCCATCCGTGGCCAAGTATCTCAAGACGAAAACCCTGTCACAAATCAATGCGTTTGCCACCCACGCCCTGCGTTATCTGATACTGTACCAATGTGACTGCCCCGTCGAGATAGCCCAGACTTATCGCTACGCTTCGCGAACAGGGAAAGGCGAATTATGTGTCCTCGCCTCGCAGTCCATACCTGCAGGTCATCCCATCCATCATCTCCAAGGGTCCTTGGCTCCCCTTTCATTGAAACAAGAAACTATATTGGAATCAGATCTTGCAACTGGGCGCGACTTCGGCATTATTCGCTTGAACGGGCGTTCCTTTCTTCTTCTTGGTCCAGTGCGTTTTGTCAACGTGAGCAATCTCCAAGATGGTTCATGCAGACTATCGACAGCTCCCTGTTTCATAGCACGATTGTACCCCTAATAGCACACTCGAGCGCATGCGGGAAGATAATCCGAGTCAAAGCCCTTCGTCGTATCGCCGTAGGCGAGGAGATAACTATTTCTTATGCGCCAGCATACTGTCAGTACGCTGTTTTCGTCAAGTGCCACCTTCATTTCTTACAGCTACGCCGTGCAGTTGGTGATGACAATCAGGACTGCCTCTGCCTTTCATGCGAACGAGCCGGAATGCGAGGTTTTTCAGTCGCCGATTCTCCAGCAACTTGCTCAATTTCCGCCGACCCAACGGAACCGAAAACTGTCCGAGTAGAAGAAAATTTATTTGAAACTATGCCCACTTCGTCCTTCTCATCCAGGATCTGTGGCATATCTCCAACACTCCTGCACAGTCGAGGACCGAGACGGCGATCTTCGCGTCTTGATAATCGGCACGCTGTGTCGGACTCGGACTCGCTTCCCCTGAGATTAATCCCGGAAGTCGAGCGCAGTCCCGCACCTGACGAGGTAGAGTATTATAATTACAAATCGACCGGTTTGTGCACGACTTGCTGCATGTGGTCCGTTTCTACCCCTGACGCTCCGGCTCTGTGTGAGGTTCGCCACATCTTATCCATACACAGCATTCAGAGCTGAACGCTCATCCCATGTAAATCTTCCCCCTCCCCCTTCCCCCTTCCCCCTATCTATAGATGTTTGCGCCATTTTGCTATATTTGGCGTCGCGTGGCCACGCCGTGTACCTGAAAATCCCACGCGACAGCTTTCTCCAGTACCAGCGTCTATATGCATGCAGGCAATTCCGTATACATATCCCATATATTCGAACGACTCCGACTTCCTCCCCCCTGACGCCGGCCTGTGCTTGGAGGAATCGTAAGCGAAAACGGCCGAAAGTTTCTTTTGATAAGATCGACAGTGACCCATCAAGCGGCAGCGTAGGCCTAGCCAGAACGTGTCCCAGGAAACGGCGGAAATGTTCGGCGTAGCGCCATCTCGATCATGTACTGTATCATTTGTGTGCCTCTTATTAGAAGGTTCTTCTTGGACTTTATGTACACAACTCATTTTGGTTGCAATGGGTTTACATATGATCGGGAAGAGCTTACTTACGGATTTTCAGCGTGCGGTTTTGGTTTGACAGAAGCGATAGCCGGGCCGATGCGTGTATGCGTATATGCTTATGGTGCGAGATCTGCCTTGATCCGCCACAGCTTCCAGAACGCTTCAAAATAGTGTTGAAGGCTCCAGATGATGCTGGGCTTTTGGGCTCCCCTGAAGTGAAGGCACCCGAATGGGGAGCCCCAATGACAAGGAAGATACTGTGAAGAATGAAAAGCGCAATTGGTAATCCCCGAGTGGATCACAGTGTTCAGGGGGGGATCGAACATCATAGTAAGTAATCATGTCCCAGGAAACTGAGCGATGTCATTCTCATTCTCCGGTGGTGACAGTTTGGATAACATTTTTGACACACTGACAGGCGAAGATGTCGGCTCGCCCGTCCACCACGGTCATCTAACGGATTAAACCGCCGGGATGGCCATGGAAATTCGGTTTTTTTTAATGATGTGATTGTGAAGAACCGAGCAATCTCCTTGTTTACAGTACAGTAATAGAGTCCAGTCCCGTGATTATTATGGTGAGAATGTTGTTGGATTGTTGATGAGAAGTGTGGTGGAAGAGCAACCTGACCTGACCTGCTGTGAGTGTGCGAAGCCACATACATCAGAAGCTGGGAATTAAAGCTTGAGCCACAAAAAGGGGTTCTATTTGTGGATAGCGAAAGACCCGGCATTCTGCTCCATAGTTGCCTAGCCAGACTTCATGGATATCAGTGTGCGGGGCGGAGCAAGGGCGTCAGGGGCTCGAAGAATTCCGCGAGGCACTGATTACTCCAAGACCAGCTGCCCCATCCTACCATGCCAGTAAGGTCCTGAGAGGGCGGTCGTCTCCGTTTTGGGAGCAGGGTATTTAGCCCACTCCGACTGTACTGTATCAAGGCCACGTCGACCGAATTCGACAAAGGCGAGGCAACCGCCGTATCTCATATTGTAACTTCAGCGTACGTATTCAGAGACGGAGCCGCATACTTCGACACCTTACGGGGCCGTGGACTGCGAGCTATCGAAAGGAGAGCAAAGCAATTAGGCGCATTGTTTTGAGATCAGAAAGGGGGGGAGTGAGCGGAGAGACGAGCAGATATGTACATACTGTGTTCGTCTAGGAACGAGACCTAAAAACAGTGTTGAACGGTGTGCCTCGAGCGTCTAAGCATACGTACCTGAATGCTGGACCAATCAGTGGCCGAAGATGAAATTGCAATTGGAGCCTCCAAAGACTACTTGCTGCCGAGTATCATAATGTCTTGGAGAACTGGGGGGATGCCATCGTCCGGCGGGGAACCTGGGCGGTATTTCACACAGTAACATGGGAAAACGTCATATGACCCACGACACGAAATGCGGTCCAAAACGATGTGAAAATAGAGGAATTCCCTTATTGAGCGTTCCATATACTACATAAATTTAGAATGTGAGGCTGAAGAAACATGGTTTTCGAGGAGCAGCAAAGGCAGTCTGTTGGAAGGATGTTGTATACAGTAAAAGCTGGCAAGTTCAGCACTGGTCAGTTTGCCCTGACAGTAGTACTAGAAGCTTGAGAAGCTTCCGAGGGGTTTGTTTATCATTACGGCAAAAGCCGAAATATATTTGTTCCGTTGTTTTGTTTGTTGGCCTTCCCCGCTCTTCATGGATCTCGACACGTTGAGCAGGCAACAGCTCCAACAACTCTGCAAGGTATCGGTCATTCTTTAGGAAGGCATTTCCGTCTTCCTAACCATGTCGATTTCCTCAGGATAACAACATCAAAGCCAACTTGAAGACAGACGCTCTGATCACTCTACTTCAATCTCATCTTGCTGCGGGGTGCGTATTTCCCCACTATATGGACAAAATCGCACAATGTTTATCCAATGCCACATAGCAACCAACTTCATACGACTCGAGCACGAACACGTTCCAGCCAGTCAGCACCTGACGCACGACCCCTGTCTGTCCCCCCTGTACCAACAGCTCCAGAAACCTCTGTCCCATCTCCAACCCGTACTCGCAAACCTAGTAGGGCAACTAGGGCCCCCAGTGTCAGTGTGCGATCGTCCATTCCTCCGGTGTCTGTCCCCGAACTTGTCATCGTCGAATCCGAGAAGGAGAACAAGAAGGACGCTCCGAGACGGAAGGCCCGCGAATCTCAAAAGCGACTGGGTGTCGGGAAACCTCGTGCGGCTGGTGGAACTGGTCCTAGATCTGTAACCCGTATCGTTCC